CAGATAAAGAAAGCACTGCAGAATGTTAGTGAAGTAATTTATTTTTCAAAAATAATGGAAACCGTTATTTTATCATTGAATAGATAATGCGATCATTACGTCCATCATACCCGTTCACCTACAAAATGGTGAAAAGTGCTTGAATTTGTGTGTCTCCTCGCAGAGTTGTTACGAACCGCCGAAAATTAGTCTGTAGGTGGATTTTACTAAATCTGGAGATGGTGAAAGAGATTAGACTTGTACAAAATCTCACCTAATGATACACATGTCACTCTGGTGCACTCGGTCCGCACAACGACGAAATGAAGGACGCAATACAAACTACGTGCAGCAGGGGACTTCTAGCTCAACAACTCCTCCCCCCCCCCCAAANAAACAACCCCGGTCCCATCGTGGTGAAACCTATTCGGACCAGGTAGTCCACTGGAGTTACTCGGCGGAAGCTGTATGTCCACAGCAGGCATGGGCATATCTCCCTAATAGTATTCGTGGACCAGCTGGATTTATAGAAGTCTAGGATGACAAAAATAACCGACTGTTCTGTTTTCCTTTGTTCAACGGATATGCGCGTACTATCAGTCGTACGCTAAGCGAGGAAATCAGTCCTACGCATGTTTCTGTCAGTTGTTCGAGTGGATCAACGATATTCTAGAGAACTAGGAAGGATTGAATTGTAGGTAATTGGGAAAGTAAACACAGTTTGTTATTCACATAAACTTCAGACAGGTTTTATGAAGCAATGTATTGGTTGATTTATTGTTTTCATTAAACTAGAATATTGAAGGATGCACCAACAATTGTGCTGTTCAGGACATTTTTTTGAACAACATAAACCTTCAGAATTTACGTTTAACGGTCTGAATAACATCCGTAGGAGCTAACCTTTCAATTTTTGATCAATTTAGGTAGTGAATACTAAAGCCGTTTCGCAGTTTGAACATTCATTTGTAACTCTAATGGGGTATTCATCGTATCTACTGTTTTCTCAGCTGATGTGATTTGTGGACGTTATTATTCCTTTTAGCCCATCGAAGAACCAAATTAAAAATAAAATTACACCCACCCCTTTTTTCTGTTGGAGTCATATTACGTAAACATTTATCTTTTAATTACGCAACCTGTTTGAAAGTCATTTCGGCGCAGAATAACCACTCTCGATCAAACTGTAATATCAAAACCATAAAGTAGTAACGGTATATTGTCTCCTCGATTTGAACCGAAATCAAGCGATCCCGATGAAAAGTTTCATTGAAACCTTATACGCCACGGTAGGCACGTGAACCCGACTGAATATAAAACACTTACTTGTTAGTGAGATACTACCTTAGTTTTAAAATGAATGCGGATAACTAGAAACATATCACAGTTTTCGAACACAGCTGAAAAAAGGCAAGTCATAAGGTTTTGCCATGGTGCTGAGTACGAATTGGGCTCAACGATTCCACGCGTACACACGAATTTCAAACGGGGATTGATCAATTGCACAAATGTGCTCTTGTGAACTACGAACTTTGGAACCTGGATGATGAATGAAATTTGTTCTTTTTGAATAGGTTTGTGGATTGGCGTTTATGCTAGCAGAGTGTATCACAAATGATATTACTCAGCATGCATATTTCATACACCAAGATATATATATATATCAGTTAATGAAATCTTTCAAAATGATTCTTTAAAATCCCTAAAATAAACATGCAATAGGAGTAATTTGAACAAAAAACCGAAACAAAACGTGAACTGAAGTGGAAAAGCCTCTCACTCGATGACGATACTCACTTGACATGCAAAACAGCTCCGATGCCAAGGTGCATTCAGCGCGGTGATATAGGAGTCCGTGATTGGTTGATTGCAACCATGACATCGGGTTCCAAATCGATCCAAATAGCAGGTTCTGAAATTAGCAGAGCAAGTGCGCAGTTTCGTGGTGGTGGTGTAAAAAGAAAAAAATAGAACAAGCAAAGATCTATAAGGTCGAACGGAATGAGCGCGTAAGAAAGTAGGAAAATTCATGTCGTTTCAGATAGGAAAAACGAATCTGGTACACCATATGTGGTACGCGCATGCAATCCATACCAGTTCAGCCTGCGAATGGGTGTGCACATTGCATGTTCGATGGAACTTCGATATTTTTGGAACAGTCAGATCTGCTTTGCAACTGCAATTTGGAGTCAGTTTCTCTTTAACAACGAAAACAGTGCGAATGGGGTATTTTCATGTTGCATTTAGAAATTAACCACCAGTGTGCAGCTTTTCTCTGCAAGTGTATTTTCAATGGTATCCACATAAGGGAAGCACCGAAGTTGGTGAGAGCTATTGAAACAGACAATATCGGTCCAACCAGTCAGGATTTAAATCTCATCTGAACCAGTTTCGGGGTATGACATTAGATTTGTCTGCAGTGCTACGTGCAACATGGATCCGAGAAGGGGTGTTCGATCACGACTTGTGTTGAATGCAAGCTTTTTGTCCGTTGCAGATATGTTCGTTTCTTGGAAGCTGCATTGTTGATGGAGCCAACTATGCATTATATTCCACGTAACATACATTTATCTCCAGTATGTTTAATGCAACAAGGGCGTTGCCTCGATCGGGAAAATACGAATGTTATAGCACATGCATACCATTTGAATTTTAGCATGTCTGAAGAACCTTTTATGATCTTTCTCAGGAAATCAAGATTAAACGAGGGGTTTGACTGTCAAACATCATTTGGGATCACATTTTTCCCATTGTTACCTAGATAGAAATGCTGACATCAGTACCATTGCGACTACGTTCGAACTAGTTGTGCTGGATGAGTTATGATTTACGAGGGTTCTTAATATGGTGCCGAATTGCCGAAATCTCGGCAAATCGTAACCACTACTATCTAACTTGATAATCATAAAAAAGGTTAGTTATGGGTTTAAATCGAAATTTTCAGTTTGATAGATGGCCAGAACTGAAGGGTGTATGTATGTCCCGGGATCCGAATGGGCAGATGATTCTCAGTCATTTTGATGCAGCAGATACCACAAGTACATTATAAAACGTAAATGCACGCAGAGGAGACTCGAGTGCTTGACTTGTCGAGGCATGATTCACAGGTCACCGTTCTTCCAATAAAGCCATTTAGTTTCGTCCTTGAAAAAGCTTTCTTCAAAAACACATTATCTTATTTTCGCAAGTTGGTCACTTTTAAGAGGTAATATGACGTTTACGATGCACTCTGATATTTGCATCAAGTAAACTTAACAACAATATACCAGAAACCAAGAAGAATAACTATTATGCCACCTAAATGTGGTGTTTTTATTTCTGAACCGAACAGTTTCAATGAGTTATTTCTACCTGCAATAATTTGAGAATATAACACATAAGGTCTTGTACAAGTTCCTCCTACAATCGGTGTGTTTCCGCATTCATGGTATTAGTGACCAGTCTCGATTTGGGATACACGGAACAGCAAGCTGTTAGACCTGTGCTAAACAAGCTGCTACTTTCCTTGTGTACTCTTGGAACGCAGAAGAATTATACCTACTTCTCCAGGCCCTACGTAGACGTAATCTATCATTATGCTGATTGTGGGCGTCCGAACGACGGGTAGTGTTAGCCTGGTGATTAGAACAGTACACAATCAAATGGTCCTGTTCCCTCTCCCCTCTCCACACAGTATTCAGTGGGCTTTTAAGATACTTTCTTTATGCACAGCTGGGGTGCCGTTGGTATTTAAACTACGGAAAATCCGCTGTACTGAATAATGCCACTACTTACATACCGGGAGGTTTTAAGTTTGTCCAATTGCCAGTTCGACACCACTCTGGAAGAGACCGCAACAACACGTCTACCGGATCAGCACTTTGAAAGCAGCAACTGAACAATACGAGCTTTCCAAATGATGTGATCGGACGGTTGTCGAACGAACTTTGGTAAACTGAGCAGCGAAAGCGCTGGGTAAAACTAAATACGATTGTCATTGTACGGTTAAAGTGCAGATTTTAAAGAAGGTTTTTCATTTGTTTACCACTGACTGAAACTCTCCGCACAAAAAGATTATTTATAGCGGTGAAATGGCCCGACATAGAGGATATTGATTTACTAATCTCAGGTAATGTTTCAACAGTCCCACGGAGCACATAATGAGAACACAAATGAGCAAACAAGCTTGGTTTCAGTGTAACAGGTAACAAGCAGTAACTTTCAGTAAGTTTTGGGATTAGGAGTGATTTCCACCAGAATCCTGATCCGTACATTCCATGTTTTTCCCCCTGAAAATGAAACAACTCTTGGAAAATTAATAGAAAACCTTGCCTCTTCTCCTTGCAGATTTTGCTGCGCCCGTAATCTTAATCAGTCATTCTTCGCAATTCGTGACAAGGTTCGTGAAATGGATAAGTTCTAACAAATGTGTATAAAGTGATTGCTTTACGTCAAATACTGTCAAACTTGTCCGAGATGTAGGCATTTTAGCTCTGTTTTGGTGGGTTTTATTCTCAATTGAGGTTGAGGTTTCAAATCATACCACCGATATTCAACTTTACCACTTCTTATGATAGCCCTTTGATGAGTTGTCGCTTGCCAGAACGTAACCTGCATTTGCTTTTCCAACGGAAGTAAAACGCTCATAATTTCCTTATGGAAGAATTGTTACCCATTATCATATTCTCGCAAGTTGGAATATTCAATCCGGTGTGAAGAAAAATTCGTGCATCAAAGACTTTGCCTGTATATATTTATATAAATCTAGAAAACACACGTTTGCTTAATGCGCCATATTGCCTGATCGGTTATCCAAGTTTACAAGTTCACCTTCCGAGTCTTCTTTACTTTTTTGCTTCAGTTAAGTCGGCCAAATGCGTTAGGTGTGCTGGCCGAAATATACGCAGTAATTAGGTGCATACGGAAAACAAACATCTGTGATTAAACAGTCTCTCTAGTTTGAGCCATTTCTTGGCTATCCACGAAAACATGATTTTACAAAACGCAAAGAATACGAGCCAAATACCCGGTTGAATCCAAGTGGGAGAGGAATAACGTAGACCTAGCTTAGGAATAAATGTATATATAAAAATTGGTGTTGTTCACAGGATGGAAGTAAAAAGCAATCAAAGCGTAACATCTGGGGTGCCAGTAATCAATTCGGAAAAACCGGAGTGTGCAAGATGTTTCTTTCCTATGAGTTACGCATCTGATAACAATTTGTTTTAATAAAAGCTCCTCTAAACAGAGTCTGTGCCTTCCGTATTCCCGAGTAATCAAGAAAATGCAAATGCTTTGTCAATCTGTATAAATGAAATCGAAAAACGTAGACGTGCATCAAACAGACTAACATTTATCCTCTTCTTCTCTTTCAGTGGCTACCTTAGAAACAAAAATCAAAACCCCTGGAACATTGAGTTTTTCAAAGGTGGAGACAAAAATTCTGGATTGAACAAAGGGTAGTTTTGCAAAATAATTGAAATTGTCTGGAAGAGTAACTCTGTTCGTTATATCTGTTCAGTTGACTCCCGGTTCTTGACGTAAAAAAGTAGTTACTTTTCACAAATACACCTTTTACTTTCTTAGGTGGATACGTTTGATAGTCCATTAGATTTCTACGGATCCATGACTTACGGGCAGTAAACTTTGTCCTCGTGTTCATGAACGGTGACGCTGTCATTGAATGCCCGTTGACAACCGTAACAGAAAAAGTGTTCCGGATGCCAAGCTCGCGATAAGGCAACGATGCATTTCTGAAACGAAATGCAACAAGCAGATTAAAGCATATAGCGAACGATTTGTGAAATTGCAAAGTGTGTTGTGCGCGAAATCACGTTTTAGTGGTCCGTGGCCATATGTGAGGCAATCTGGAGCAACAGAGGTAAATCAAACTATTTGTGTATACTCAGTAAGCCATGACTTGTGGATATGGATGAGTGACCTCCCGGTTTTCCCTATCGTCGTCCCCCCAGACGGCGACTGAACAGCTGCATCCCTTTTTTATTAAAGTGGTATGTACAGTTGTATATTTTATGATACAAAATTTAATAAGACCTTGGTCTTATGTAATCTCTAGGAGAATATTCACGAGCTAAAGGACTGACGTGATGTGGTACAATTTTCCATTTTTAATATATATGATATATCTCAACCGCTTTCATATATTAGGAATGAGTAAAATGTCTGTTCGGTTGATTGGTGGTCAATTGGGTAATATGCTTGCATTCTACCTGTGAGATCCCGGGTTTGATCCCCCGAACTGGTCGATTGATTTGCAAAGCTGATGTGATTCAACCAAATCGAAACAAATACCCAGTGCTTTCTAGATTTTTAACTCACGCTTCACTTATATGACGAATTCATTACATAGTCAAATCAAATCATATATCCTCGATCATATGATTGGACACGGGTGTTAAGATTTCATTCTTGTAATTCTAATGTCTTAGTATTTAATTCAAATATATACACATATATTGATCAAGCCTTTGTCACGTACAGCAAAATACAGATGCTTGAACTAAGCATAAGTTTGAACTGTTATACCGTCTCCCAGAAGATTCCAGTCCATGTCATATTTGAATTTATTATCGTTCTTTTGGAACGTTTTCTCTATGCAGAAGATGGCGGTTAAACGATATTTGTAGGCTCCCTGTTTCATCACTCTTATTTACAATGGAATTATTAATCCAGTTTTTGTTTCTGGTTCATAGACCAAATAAACAAACCTTGATTAAGTTTATTGGTTTTAAATCAATTCTTTATGCGTTATGGAGTTATAATGAGTATTAAGGAAGGAAACATTGAGCGGTTAAAAGCCATGTGCGCAAAATAAATATACAGGGCAACATTGGTGGGGTTCCAGCTTATATTGTTAAAGTCGAAGAGGGTTGCTGTGGACGGCATACACTACTCCCAATGCCCCAACTAATTAATTCAAACTGCATCTTTTGCACCCATGAGAATGATAAATGAATGGTGTTCACGTTGACCGATAAACTTTGCATAAGTTTACGAAAACTTGTAAAGTGGCAAATAATTTACTAAGGTGTATACTGGTTGTACCTTTCAAATATGGTACATGATCCGATCATCGTAAACCATATGAGTACACAGGAGAAAATATTTCGAATTCCTCCTACACTGTTGTGTATTACTGATTGTGCGATTTCGCACGTATTCAGTCAGTTTAATTAGCACTCGGCGCCAAAGATTTAGTAATAATCAGAATAGTAAACTATACCATTATACTGTGTTTTATGCACTTCATAACCTGAGGGCTTTTTGATTTAATAAACAGGTTGTGATAAATGATAACTCACTGAGACAAGGTAAACATTTCATGATTCACGACATGGTCGGGAATTTCATACGTTTCACCGCTCTTTACACGTCAATTGATCAAAGTTCTCTTGTTCAGGTTACTTTACTTTCCCCCATTTCGTCAGTTGTTATTCCAGCTAACAATAATTCTTTACCAATACATACAGGCGCGTTTAAAGAAACTCATGCATTGGACATTGTGTCGTGCCCCTTTTCTAATATGCCACAAGTAACTGCTCACGTGCACATGTCCAGATCACCACCTGTTGAGAGACAATCACATAATATTCAACCACTTCAATAACGAACCTCTAATGTGACACGATATAGCTCGAACTACCTCACCGGAAATATCATGCAATCTGTTTCTAGGGAAACAGATTCCGGAGACGAATGAGAGCAAAAAGAAGAGAGATAGGCAGCTGACAAATGGATGCGTGTGCTCAGCATGTACTGCTCTGGAGCGCAATTTGGCCAGGGTCTCTTGCCTTGAGCTGTCATAATCATCCCTCTGCTACAGTGCAGTCGGATTATGTAAGCGATGATTTATTGCACAGTCAAGAAGTGAATGCGAGAAGTGATAGCATCTCAGATAAAACGGATTGACTGTCAACCTCTGAAGCACCGCGTGGATAAAATTGGCACATACACATCCAAGATGTTCGCGACCGACAGTTTTGACGAAAATCCAAACTATTCTCTTCATTTTGGCGATAGAATTTTTCACTTGAAATGGTATGCTTTGAGATTAATCTCAATGAGTCGGTTCACTTAAACAGAGTTTCAATCAATTCTTACCAAAAATAAGCTATATTTACTGGTTTTCGGATTTGTATTAGATGTTAAAATTCGAGAAATGTTTATTTCTCTCATTTGTCTGATTAAATACGTATTGTTCAAGCACAACAATACGCATTCCTTGTTTGATGTCTTTCCTTTTTCTGAGATAAAAATATATACTCAGGGATCGACAGGTTAGAAATGCATCAATCTGAAGTAATATATTTTCACAGGGAATGTTTCATATGGAACGAGAAGGACTTCATCGTTCCTGATCAAAGTGCATGTCTTCGTGTATTGCCAATGTGCTTCACCATTGAATGGTCTCTGAATCAGTGTTATGTTTTCTAATTGTCATCCGAAGCCATTGGAAGCGCCGAAATATGTTTGACTGTGAATACCAAATTAAATTTTGATAAAAGAAATCAGGTGTTCCTCATCATGCATGGTACGTTAGTTCTTATAACAGAACTAAGTCAGCTGCTCATCAAAATTTAGGTTTTCAAAGCGTTTTTCTAGTTTACTTAACGAAAAGGATGAATATAACATTTTGAAATATCTGCTGGTAAACTTATCGGTTCTGCCAAGGACAGAACAATCAGTTTGGTGATTATGAGCATCGATGCAGAAAATCAGGTTTTTAAGAACTGATAATCTTTTTGACCTGAAATCTGACCCGAGCTCACCTTGAATGCAGCCCGATAATTGAGTATCGCAGGCACAAAGTTAACAGCACTAATTAAGCAAAGAACGAATGGTCAACCGTATATTATACACGTCTGGCTGATACAGAATATTGAAAGTGATTGTACAAGTCCAGTATCGAGGTGCGTTTTGGGGGACACAACCGAGTTGTAAAAATTGCCTCGCTTAATGCTATAATGGAATGTAACAACACTCCCCAAATAGGTATATGTGCTTTGGTAAACGACGTTTAAAATCCTTTTAATGAGTTAAGCTCCTTAGACAAAATACGCAACATACCGAAGATTCTGATGAACAATTTCTGTGGTTAAGTATACTGTAAGTGATATACAATCTTTCACCTGGTACAACTAAAATGGATAGTGACAGTTTGCGATGAACTGCGGTGCAGGGAAGCTCCAACAAATATTTTCAAGTTTAACTCTAATTTCAGTATAGAAAGGCATGATTCTGGTTGAAGCGGAACAAGAATTTAACTTAGCTGGCACCAGTTATCTAGGTCCGTGAAGTGTTTCTGGGGGATAAAAACGAATTCGATAACAGTTATTGCCATCATTAATGATTACCGCACGTGCATCGTACTGTGCATCATACTGTGTACGTGTTTCACTTCTGGGGAGTTCCCGCGTATGAAATGCATTGTTTTACCCATGTAGCTTTACGTATGAATATCGAAACATTTATTCGGTAGCTATTGTTCTTTTGGAGCTAAACAGTCAACGATGGGCACTTTTGCAATCTGGTGGTTGGGAGCAGAAACCCTAACCCCCAAGCCACACGACAGACAGCCAACAATTTTATTACATATTTGTGTAAATTAAATATGTACTCGTAAATCCCACGCAAGTTCACAGACAGACCCACGAGTAATTCTATTAGGATAAAATGAAATATGAAACAACGAGGAACCCACGCACAGACACAAAAACACAACACAGACCCGTGCATATGGGCATTAGAATGAGATTACCAGGACCATGTTTAGTGTACATCTTCTCCGATCCTGCTGAAACTGAAGCACTTGGCATGCTCACCTCAAGGATCGCTTCACCACAATAGGCGCATTTGGGGGAGAATAGACGTGCGTGACAATCCAAACAGTACGGATTATTGTCACGCTCGTAGAAATCTACCCGGACTAATCCGGTTCCACAATTGGCACAAGTGAAGTGATCCGGATGCCATTCTTTGTCCATGGCGGAAATCAGCTGGGATTGGAACAAATCCAGCGCGGCGATTCCGAAGCAAAGGGGGGGGAGAACAATGAAAACATTAGAAAAATAGCATAAGTGAAGAAAGCGGGTGGAAGTGACACTGCAAAAGAATCTAATATGGAGGTTCTCAGAAAAATAAGAGCACATTGTCATCGTCTGCGAATACAGTCAAAGAAGAAACAAAATCAGCGAAACGCAATTTTCGAGTACATATATCGCCTATGATCTATTCGGATAACACAGGTGGATATATACTATAGTGAATATAAATTTCAGGTACTTCAATCAGTTGTCAGTGCGAAGTAAATACAAATTTCGAAAGTATCATTAATAATAACATTTATGAGTTGTCCCGGTAGGTCGGCTGAAGTGTCTTAGTGGTTAAATGATCATCAAAGTCAGTTTAAGTTGCTAGAATGGATAAATCTAATTACAAAACGAATCAGAGGTTTGGTACAATGTGCTCGAAAAATCCAGCATAATAACTCTAACTTCATTCAATATCGATGGAAACAATAAAAAATCATAATTTATTTATAAAAACAAGTTGTATTCAATGTTGCATTATAGTATGCGTTTTCTGCCAACGCACTGACAAATGATTTCTCACTCTGTTGAAAACAACTTATTGCTTGAAATTTTGACTAATGAATCGCCTCGCATTCAACTCACAGAGTAGTCTTGTAGGATGAATGTTATGCAAGAGAACTCGCCATTCTTAAGACTACATCGTTATGCCTAATATTCCGTTCCGAGAGTTAGTTGTGCATTCAAGAAGCACTACACTTTATGGGAGGCTTCTCATTGAAGATCGTGGATCGTACACTGCGTATCCTTTCTTTATTGTCAGCTACCCCCCTCCCTAAAAAAGGAGATATATTTGAAAGAGACGTCTGAGCAAACATGAATTGACAATTGTGGTCAAGTGGTTGACAAACTCATTACACAATCACCTCCAATACTATGGATTCGGGATTCAACGCCCAGAGGAGACCTTGGATATGCACTTCTGATGCTATCTAATAAGAGCCCCGAACCTCAAGTGAACTGCTTCCGAATGTTCAACTGACTGATAGAACTGAGGATTGTGTGTGACGATGGAATCGAAAGGGCAGACAGATAAACTCTCAGTGTCATTTCGCAGAAAATTCTCTTCAGTCGATCAAGAAGGTTGAACGCATCGTGAATTTTTTCACATATGTTTTCCTGTATACAAAAGATACGAAACTTGTGCCAATCTGAGATACACAACACCGTAGAGTCGTAATTTTAGGGCCGTCCAAAATACACTTTATCGAACTTGCGAAGATCCAAATTCGAACGTACATCCAGAATACCACCACCAGGTTTCTCAGTGTTTCATCACTCCAATTCGGCAGGCAACTTCTTAGGCGTTGATTGATTTGAGTAGTAAGAGGGTGAATCAGGAGAAAGTGGTTCATTATACACTAACTCGAACAAATGTACACCACTCACCATTTCGGAAAAACTGGATAAAACAGCTGTGCAATGCTTCAAAAGCTTTTGAGCATTATCCGTGACACATTCACGTAACACGCCTAATCAATTTGTGCTGGTCTGTTCTCCCACAACTTAGACGAAACGCATCCAATCACGCGATAAAACATTTGTTATACAACTACTAACATTGAACTTNTCAACTGTGTAATACACTGATTCACTCGCGGAACCAAAAAGACTAAAACTGAAACCGATTAGGTTCTATCTGGTGATGAGTAGAATTAAACAAAAAACGGTTTGGGATTCAGTGATCAAACATTTCTGTTTTCTCTCAAGGCGCAACAAAACCGTGGTTCACGGTTTTTACAAAGAACTGCACTTGTGCTGTGCTGCCAAAACGAACCGCCCACAGTCAATGTGTCTAGCTCATAAGTTTGGCCTGAATCTGTCAGATAACCATTTGTTTGGCATTATACACTTTCAAAACAATCTGCTGTTTTTTTGTTGGGGGGGGGGGGG